GTTTAAGAACTCCTAGGACATGGAGATGGTTCAAATTGTCCCTTTTTGCTAAGATAAGAGAAATTTATCTTAAAATTTAGAAAGATGAAAACAAAATATTAGGAAAATCTATGTTCCAGAAATACAATCTCTCTAGAATATCTTTGATCCTTTGCCATTCTCCTCCCCTAACTAAAAAGTAATGTTAAAAGTAAAAGGTTTAAGATTGTAGATATTATGTTTATAAACACTACAATAATTTGTTGCATGTTGCATGTTACATGCAACAATGTTTGGTTTGCTTAATAGTAGTGTTTATTATTTACCAATAGATTTAATGAAGTTTATAATTAACACACAAGATTAATCATAATACACTACATACACACACAGATATAGAGAGAGAGAGAGAGATACATACATACATACATACATACATACACATGTATGTATGTTTGTATAACTTATTGTTGTAATATTCTCTGAAGACAATGTGAAACCTGACATCCAAAGTGCAAGGTTTTGCATTCATCACCACACTATTGTTTCTATTAAAGAAAAAAAATGGCAGTTGTTCACAAGGTGGCATGGACTGAATTCAGCCCAATAGATTAGCTTATTCTCAAGACAGCAAGTAGTAAAATATTCCATTCGAACTCCCAGCTTAACTCTTGTCTAAAGCTATTTTATTCTTCTAGATTTGCTAATTATGCATGTAGAGGGTATATTTGGAACTATCGAGACTTCTGCAACTGAGACTTGCAACAAAATGTTCATTGACAAGGAAGGATATAACTCCATTGAGCTCTTGGAATGCAAGCCATTCCCGAAAAAGGCTCTAGCGTCCTTCAAGTCAACACTAAAGGAAATTTTGAGCTTCCTTTGCTGGTGCTGGTCATAACGATGGGTTCTGGCCCTTCACAACCCACAATCACTTTCTCTAAAGCAAAAGCTTTTGAGAAAATACGTGAAAGTTTCACGGGACTATATAAAGAATATGGTAATAGTTGCCTTGAAACATTGATCCAGTGAAGTGAGACCTGTGCGATAGGAAGAAAAAGAAATAAATAACAACATCTGCAAATGACTTTACCGGGCACTTGCACATCGACAGTGTAGAACTGCTGGTTCTCGAAGGAGGACCACAAGAGCTTCCGTGCGTCATATCCTGCAAGCCACAGAGAAAAAAGGAAAATAAAACTCCAGGCATGATTAGAACCATACCTTTATTGTGCTTGCAGCAGTTTAGCAGTAGCTGGTATGCGTGTTTCTTCTCAAAGTTGTAGAGAGCGACGAGACCTTCGTGCTGAGAGAACTGCGGCAGCCCCCCGGCATCAGCCACTGCCTGCGCCAACTCGAGGCTTTTGGCACACCTCCTCAAGTCATTGCTGGAGAAGGAAGCCTGTGGAACGACAGTATATGAATCTTCATCGATCAGATTGGAGAGGTTCGTGGACTGCAGACCAAGGAGCTTGGGATAACAATCAGCAACAAATGCTCCTGCAACTCGTGCACGTTTGGCTCCCCGGAGAAGACTTCCTTCTCAGCTCGGCAGGCAGCACTCCTACAGAAGTGTGTGCGGTGATGTATGGGTTCCTCTTTACAGAAGCGGCGGAAGTTATCCTCCCAGGCATCGTCCACAAGCTTGATCATGCGTGGATACGGGCAGGGGTAGTCGCCGTTGTCGTCAAACCCGAGTGGTTTTCAACGGGTGGGAATTTGCCGCTCACGATTTCGCGGTACTCAAGCGTGTGACGCAAGAGATGCGCCTGGAAGCAGCCGGTGGTAGCATCACAGTCGTCGAGCGCCCTACAGACTACGGTTCTCTAGACGGAGCATCACCATCCACAGAAACTCTCCATACTCTTTGTAGGCCTCGTCCGTCAGTTTGCTCACCTGAGAGCCTTTGCTGCCACTCCTACTACTCGTGTGGATGAAGTACCTTAGCATTTTTTTAGTTTTTGGCAGAGTGAATACGCCCGGCTCAATTGAATTCCCTAAAACCCTAGCCCTGACTCCATAAGAAATAAAAAGGCGCTATCATATTTCCGTTGCATGCAAATGGTAAGCAAACCGTTTCTGGAAAAAGCTCTAGTCTGCTTCATGTCGGCACTAGAGGGAAGCTTAATCTTCCTTTGCTTGAAGGCGTTGGCATTGCTTTTAACGATGAGTTCGTTCCCTGCACCCACTATTATTTTCTCTCGCGACAAGCCTACACAGTCACAAACAAACCAACAGCTCTTGAGAAAACTAAAAAGTTTCAAGGGGTATACCTGGAACTTCGACATGAAAAATGTGGTAATCCTTGTCATCTTCAATAGTTGCCTTGAGATGTTTGTTCTTGGCTACAAATATGATATCAATACTTTTGTTTAGCTCACCCTCGTCGAAGTCCTCAATTGGCACTGTCAGATCTGTCTCTTGGCAAATGGTGAGAATCTCATCCTGGAGATTAACTATTGCACCATCGACATCAGCGTAAGGAGGAATGGCAAGCTTCTTGTGCCAGAACACGTCCTTCTCCGTGGAAACAAGCACACCCTTTCCATCTTTCGCAACACGCACTTGATCCAGCGATGTGAGACCTGTCGCGCACAAGGAAAAAGAAATAAGATAACAACACCTGTAAATCATTACTTACCGGGCACTTGCACATCAACAGTGTAGAACTGCTGGTTCTCTAAGAACGACCAAAATAGCTTGCGCTCGTCATATCCTGCAAGCCACAGAGAAAAAGAAATAAAAAACTCCAGGGAGGAAAAGCCATACCTTTATCAACGAGCTTGTGGCAGTTTAGCAGCAGTTGGTAAGCGTGTTTCTTCTCAAAGTTGTAAAGAGCGACGAGACCTCCGTGACGAGGGAACTCTGGCAACCCCCCGGTATCAGCCACCTCCTGCGCCAACTCAAGGCTCCTGGCACACCTCGTCAACTCAAGGCTGGTGACACCAGTATGTGGCACGACCGGTGTAGCATATGATCGAGATTGCTCCCAGACCAGAGCGGCGAGGCTCGTGGACCGCAGACCAATGAGCTTGATATCAGAGGCAAACAGACCGCCTGCTCCTGCAACTCGTGCACGCTTGGCCCCCTGGAGAAGACTTCCTTCTCGGCTCGGCAGGCAGCACTCCGGCAAAAGTCGTGCGCGAGGCGAGTTTCTTCCTGATCATGTCTGGATACGGGCAACCGTAGTCGCCTATGTCGTCAAACCCGAGTGGTTTCCCAGCGGATGGGGGGAATTCGCCGCTCACGATTTCGGTGTACTGGAGCATGTGATCCAGGAGATGCCCCTGGAAGCGAGATGTAGGGGTGGCTCTCCATGCAAGCGGCGAATTGCATCCTCCGAGGCATCGTTCACGAGCTTGACCATGGATGGAAACGAGTCGCCGCAGTCGTCAAGCCCGAGTGGTTGTTCAACAGGGGGGAATTCGCCGCTGGTTGTGATGCAGGACATGCGACTGGAAGGCGTCGCTGGCCCACCCACTGCCGTCTAGCGCCCTAAAGACTTGGCCGCGGACACGGTTGTTTAGGCCAGAAACTCTCCATACTCGTCATCAGTGTTTTTCTCACCTGAGAGAGTTTATTGCATTTGCTACTGCTGCTCCTACTCCTACTCGCATTTGCTATGTGGATGAAGCGCTTTAACATTCTGAGAAGTCTTTCAAAGAACCCTATACCCCGTAGGATTTCGCCACAACACAGAAACAAAAACTTACTTCATAGAGATCTTCCGAGACTAGGCTCCTAGAGTAATCCGCAGCATTTCTTCAAGCTCTCCGTCATGCCTCGCTGAATCTGTGTGGACAACTCCAATCAAAATCAGCATAAATGTTATGCGTTTTCACTAACCGGTTTGTTTGAGCGCAAGTGGCGAGAGGTGCCTCAGTGACCGAGCAGTTTCTTTACACCATTTTTCATTGGTACTGGCCTAGTTGACAAGAAAGAAATCAACGCAGAGGCTCACCAGAGACTCGATTATCTCTTCAACGCGGTCCTTCGAGAAGCAGTAAATCATCCTGGAAAAGCATAGAAGCTGGTTAGTTCATACATAAAGTCCCATCAATCAAACTATTGCAGGATGTTCCGGAGCTTGAGAAGACGTTGGTGAATTTGCAACCGCGAGCTTGAATACAGGAGGCTATCCAGGGATTTGCTAAGATGCCAGAGGCTGGAGAGACCAGTGTCATGAAAAAGTAAGTGTACGAAGAAATAAGAGAACGGAAAACCACCTTTAAAGGGACAAAATGCGTCGGTCGATGCCACAAGCTACCGTATAGGCCAGCCTTGAGCCCGTGAGCGCAAGGTATGCTCCTGCTAAGAATCTCAGAGCGCGTTTCATACCCAGCTGTCGTGAAAGTCGTGGAAGGAAATACGAGGCACTACAATCGGTATGAAAACCAGCGGCAACTTCGGACTCTTAGATGTTCTCAAGTAGCATTATAACATTCTCGGTGACGATTCTAAACGTGCTGGGAAACGTAAATCCACAACGAAAGCACAAGCAATTAAGGCACAGGCTACTGGATAATCTCTTCAACTCTCCTTGAGAAGCATCCATCGTGAAAAAGCATGCCAGAGCCTTACAGCAATTCTAAAATCCTTGACACAAGCTTCCAATGTTCTTTTGAAAGGTTTTGGACGCAAAATCAATCCTTATCTCTACCTGCTGGTATCTTCTAGTGTTTTTCTTTTTGCAGGTGAGCGACCATTGGATACTATGCAGGATATTGGTGCCGGGTTGCTGCTCTTTCCTAGCTGTCAACCTCTTCGACCTCTGTTTTCTCAATCTTCCAGGATCGTGGCTTGCAATGGGGAGTGAAAGTCGCAAGTCTGTCAATGTTCAAATCATTTCAGTGTTCATCAAATCATCTCTTTCTCGTTAATCTTTCTAGCTTGTCTAAAGTTCTTCCTTCCACCAGGATTACGCTCTACCTCAATGGCATGTTCGGAACAATCCAGATGATGAGCGTGACGGACTAATTTGTGGAGCACAAGCAGCAGAGCTCTAAAAGTCGATCAGGATAAGTATAATAAATGTGCTACTGAATTGCGCTCTTTGGAATGCGAATGGTAAGCGAGAAAAAAACTCTACCCTGCTTCGAGTCATACTCATGTTCTGTTCTTAGGCGGAAGATCACCACCCATCCAAACTCTGAAGACGAATTGCCGCTAGTGACATCCGCCACCACTCGGAGATCACTGCCGAGATACGTGCTGGTCTCCCATCGAAGTGGTCCTCGGTCCTGCGTCCCCGAGAGTTTCTTCCCCTTCTCGCAAAAACCCTAAGCCTCTAAGCCTCATGAATATTCGCGACTATTTTGAATTCAAACAAGAAAATGGCGGGAGTTTGGCTGGATCTCCTAGGCCAAGTATTTGCCACTCCACCTTGAAATGAAGGGTTTGAAGGGATGACGAAAGGGATTTTAGTTTACCTTTCCTCGCCTTCCAGAGGCAATTGAATTTGCTCCCTGGCAGTGTAGGTGTTCAAGATCATCTCTACCATGTCATCCGTGACTTCTGCAAGAGTCGATGGATTCCACTGCAAAAGTTTCACCAATTAACATGGCTGAACCTTAACGTTTGAGAGCCAACACAACCAACCTTTGGAGCGCGATCTTTATCCACAACCACAGCTCTAATCCCCTAGTCATAATTGGAAAGAAGCAGTAAGAACTTTTATGGAACCAGGAAACCGAAGAACTTACTTCGTAGAGATCATCCGAGACTAGGCTCCTTAAGCAATTTAGAGTAATCCGCTGCTCTCTTTCCAAGCATTTCTTCAAGCTCTGAGTCCTGCCTTGCCGGATCTGTGTTGACAATTCCAAACACAATCAGCACAAAAATTGCGTACGCGCGCGCGAGAGAGAGTTTCTTCTAACCGATGCTAAGGCTTGCTTGAGCGCAATTGGCGAGAGGCGCCTCAGTGACCGCGCAGTTTCTTTACACCATTCGTCATTGGTACTGGCCTAGTGAAACGGTTGACAAGCGGGATTTATCAAGAAAGAAATCAACGCAAAGGCCTCAGGGACTCACCAGAGACTCGATTATCTCTTCAACTCGGTCTTTCGAGAAGCAGCTGTTTATCCAAGTCATCCTGGAAAAGCCTGGAAGCTTGTTAGTTCATACGTAAAATTCCATCGTGGACGATTAAGAAGTTTTGCCTTTTCATGACACTGCTCGCTTCAGCTTCAGGCATCTTAGCAAATCCCTGGATAGCCTCCTGTATTGAGCTTTCCGGTTGTAAATTCAGCAAAGTCTTCTCAAGCTCCGGAACATCCTGCAATAGTTTTTTATTGAAATGTAAGAAGAGATCAGAAAACGGAAAACCACCTTTGAAGGGACAAAATGCGTAGCGATGCCACAAGCTAGCATATCAGCGCAGTCCAGTTTCGATCCTGTGAGCGCAAGGTATTCTCCTGCAAAACTTAAGTCTGAGATCAAGTAAGAAAACTCAAAGAGTGATTTTTACCCAGATGTCCTGGAAGTCGTGGAAGGAAATACGAGGCACTACAATCAGTATGAAAACCGACAGCAACTTCGGGAGTGGAGAATGCCTGGCAGCGAAACTGTTAGATACTCTCAAGTAGCAATCACAAAACTTACAGCATTCTCAGTGACGATTCTAAACGTGCTGGGAAACGTAAAGCCTGCTCCCCCTCCCACAACGAGTCCGTGCCAAATAGCTACCTGTGAAGAACAAAAGTCTCTAAGTTCCAAGTCTTCTAGGCTTTGAGAAACGTGATGTGAACATACTCTTGTTTTCCTGTAGCTGTACAGGTGATAGTCGAGCCAGTACTTTTTGTACACGACTTCCTTCCACGATTCGTCTGGGAAAGACACGCAAGGGAATCAAAACCACCAAAGCTTAATCCTTGAACAAAACCTTTCCTGTGATCGTAGAACATGCGCAGGTCACCACCAGCAGAGAAAACCTTGCCTGCGGCCTGCGAGCCAGGGATTTAAAAAGAGAAGAATGGTAGGTGGAGCTCACCTTGATGATTATAAGCTCCACACTCTCATCTCTCTCCCACTGCTCAAACAGCTCCGCGAGTCGGGAGACCTGAAAGAGAAAGCTCAAGAACAAAAACCAGGATGCCGCAAGGCTTCTTGATCCAAATGCAAACTCTTACAACGGAGAGATTGAGACAATTGAGCACTTGAGGGCGATTGAGGGTCATTACTCGCACCCTATCGTGAGCATCCACGAGCACCTCCTCCATCTGGAACAGAAACAATCTATGAGAGAACAAGAAACAAAGAGAATGCTTGAGAGCTCCCTCTTTCTCGCAAACCTGATTTTCGTCCGGCATGCCCATGATGATAGAAATGCGCTCGCTCGCTCGCTCGGCCCCAAACATCTTTTAACTTAAAGAGGTGGTGCTACGCCTCTACGAGTCAAAGCTTTACGACCAGCAGGCACACGTTGGTATCCAAACCAAACTCGATCTTCTCGCACGAACTGGTCAGATCATGTCACTGTGGTATTGTAGCACGCGTAAATCTTCGACGAATGTTTTTCATTGCGCAGCCGAGTAGTATCGAAGCTCGAGTTTTTTTACATCGCTATGTAGTGGAATGGTTGTCATGCCAGGATCTTGTCACTGGATTGACATCAAGCTAGCTGATCCGCTGCTTTCTCGTCTTGAAGCTTGTTGGTGGACGCGGGCAAGAAAGGCCTGAGCGTGGCCAGGACCGTAAGAAAGGCAAAGAAAATGAGGAAGAAGAACACCAGCTCGTCCCCTGCACATCCAAAGTTGTCAAGTTACTCTCACGCACGTCTCACGAATTTGCAAACTTGTTTCTCACCTGGAAGGAAGGCTGCGTGCTGGCGCTTTTGAGCCCAAGCAAACCTGAGAAAAAGAACTGCGTTAGCTCCTTCCTCCTTGGTAGCCAAATATCAGAAACGAGTACTCACACTGAACCTCCTCCTGCCGGGCCAAGAGCCTTGAAAAGAGAAACAACGCTTAGTGACAGTCCATTTGCAGCACCTCTCTGTTCTTGAGTCTGCAAGCAAAAAAGAAAAGAGAAGAGAGAAAGAAAAGAGAACGTGAACTTCCGGGGGAAAACCAAGAAATGGACGACTCATTATACCACGGAGTTGTTTATCAGAAGAAACGATCCGGTCATTGTGGCCGTCTGCAAGAACAAAGCCCATTAGCATTGAAACATGTAGTAGTAGACTGGTCACGTACGGTGAGCACGAACTTAAGCACGGAGGCAGTGAGCAAGACTACCCACAGCCAAACGTTTTCCAGCTTTGACATGAGAGGATATATACAAAGTATAGGAATTGCCAGGATCTGAGAGAAAGGGCAACAAAATCAGAAGAAGGAACTTATAGCATCTTACTTACAGCTGATATCCGAGTCATGAAAATAGGCCCAAGCATGTTCGCAACAGCCGGAAAAATTGTAAGCTGGAAAACAAGCATGGCGAAACCTGCAACCATAGTTCCCGATCAGTACCTGTCAAAGCCACGGTTACACAGGGATTCACCTGAAATAGCCAGGACTTCTCCAACGTCAGAACTAGTGAAGCTAAGTCCTCCTTGTAATCTTGGACTAACAGCCCACAGTGAGAAAATCTACAAGCAAACAGAAGTCAGCCCCCACGGGAAGAAATGGTTGCAACGTATACCTCTGTGTAGGCAATGTCATGGAGGGACCAAAGGCAATACACAGTTGTTGATGCAAGGAATGGCCAGTTCTTGAGAATCGACTGCTTTCTTGCCGGTTGCTTGTCTTCAGCAGCTGATATGTTCCTTTTAGGATGCTTGTGGAGTGTTTCCTGGCAAAAGGAAAAGAAGAAAACCTCAAACACTGCACTGCCAAAAGAAAGAGCACTTACAGGTAGAGTAAAACACATACAGAGACCGAGTAACGCTATCGCGGAGACAACCAGAGCTTGCAATAAGTATGGAAACCTGCCACGCAGAAAGAAGAAGAAGAAGAACCATAAGAAAGAATCAGAAGTGCTGCCAGTTACCGTGCAAAGAGGGATCCATGGTGGAAAACATTCGGATACTTTACAGCCGGCTGCAAGGGGAAATTTGTCAGCTGTATACAATTCTCCGCATAAATACCTGCGACAGGAACCCCCCCAGAGCTGGTCCAACTATAAGTCCTAGCCCCCAAGTTGTGCCAACCTACGAGAGAGACATTTTTGCCAGGAGTTAAGAAACTAGTGTAACACCGTACGTTGCCGAGAGACAAGGTTTTCAAGCAATTCAGTAACTTACGACCGACACACCTAGTGCTTGATGCTCGTCGCTGCAAATCTCCGATGCGTACGCCTGAACAGATTAAAACCGTGTCAACGAGATGAACTTCACTAGTAGAAGACCCGTACCTTAACCGGACCAAGCATGCCATTGAAGCTGCCAAGGCAAAACCGGGTCACCAGAGCCATGGTGAAGCTCGTGCTCACGCCAAACAACGTGTTGAAGACCAACCTGATTATGAACAGATGCTCAGAATGAAAGATACTAGACAAAGTTTGACAAACGATAGAGGAAGTTTGCTTACACTGACACAATTCCAAGCACCATCACTGGCCTCCGGCCAATCCTATCCGCCAAGTAGCCCCAGAACACAGCAGTGAAGAAACGTCCAGCCATAAACGACGATCCTGAACAGTCGACTCACTCTCAGTTCCAAAAGTGAACATGTAGACGACAAAGTAGAGAAAGCATTACCAATCCATCCTGCGTAGAAGCCAATATCGCTCTCGGTTTTCGCAACATGGAAATCACGCACCTGGAAAGAACAAAACGTGTAGCAAGAAGCCAACCCGGAGAGTATCTCACCATAAAATATAGAAACGGGTAAAGCACGGAAATCGGCAGCGCTGTCGAAACCATTTGGATCGATGAGACAGAACGAGAAAGAATAACGTAAAGCGCTGCTAGGATAGACAACGTACCATTGCAAAGAACCACGAATCCCAGGGACACCAGCTGCTTCAGCGGCGGCGGCGATCCCTTCTCGCGGAGCCGCCATATCTGGCAGCCGGGACAATCCGGGAACTCGAGCTCCGGCTGTTGACGATCGCGTCCTAGCAGCGGCTCCTCCATATGGCTCGGGGATCGCGCAAAACCCTAGACGCCAGTGGCGCGCGACACAGCTCTACGATTGCGACAATGCTCCTCTCTCTGAGCTTCTCGCTGGAAAGGAGATGCTTGGAATTGATTATTCCTGTCGACGTGGCTGGAACGTGTGCGTCCAAAGTGAAACGTGGTTGATTGGGAGAGCTCGACTGGCCACCGCATTGTAATAATTTCGCCTAGCCCTTGTTTGTTTGCAGTTGCGTAGAAAAACCACACACTAAGTCCACGAGATGAGATCGCACTCTTGTTATGGAAATGTGAGCCGTGTTTGTTCTATATGAGCGTGCTATAAAGTTTGTCTTCACGTACGTGATGGAGCAAGCTGAGATGATTCTCTCCTTCCCAGGGTGACTGTTACATCGGCTTGATCGGGAAATTTCAATGTGCAAGGCTTTGAAGGCTCGAGATTTGCTGCAATGCCGGGCATTTCAGATCGAGTTTTCTGCTCGAGCAGAATCTAGAGTAGATGTCCAATCCTCAAATTCCATGGCAAAGGAATTGTTGTAATAAAGGTGGCAGAACCTTGTCAAACATCATATATACGATCCAAAGAAAACATTTCATGGATCTATCGATCGAGTCAGAGACCCTCTGGCGTGTACTCTTGGCCTGGTCTTCCTAATTCGAGGAATGGCATCCATCTCGAGTTTTAGAAATAGCCTGCGCTTTTGTCACAAAGCCAGACCGATAGCTAGATCAAAAGAAAATTTCTTACTTGTTTTTCTATGGTTCTTGATTCTGACACTGCTCTCCTTACAAACACCCCACCAAACACACAGGCACAGGCACACACGCAGACAAGGCGAGAAAGATACAAAACAAAACAATCGTATCCAAGTCCTTGGCAATAACTCTCTCTATATAGCTGGATCATGTAGAGCTGCTATATAGATCGATACGATACATGTTTCTTCTTTTCATGTGGGCGATCTCATCTCCGCAATGCGCGTGTGGTTTGCTGCCTGTCGGCACAGATTCGCTGGCGAGGAATGGGCTCCTGCAAAAGAATCCGGATGAAAAACAACCCAAGATGGAGAGAACAGGAGTCCTAAGTGGAGGCCGAAGAACACACTCTCTTAAAAGGTCTGTTCAGTTGTAAATGTGGGTGGTCTCAAGTTGGAGGAGCACGGCCAGGCCTGCACTGCTCGTGGGTTCTCGCTGGATCGACTCTCCCCTTTTATCTTTCGCTCGTAAGAAGATGTTTTGACCCTTGACGTACAATCCATCAGCCATCAATCACCCAACAGGGACAGCAAGTTGTAGAGGAATCCAGCCATCCATGTCCAGTTTTTTTTCCTTTGCTTTTCCCTTTTCTTCGTTTTCACCCGGTCAGTGATCACACATCGTCTCCTTCTCCTGGTAACAACACCCAGTGTGATACCACAGGGCGAAGGTCTTTTGCCTGCATGATTGAGCAGCATGGTACAAAAGGAATTGATGAGAGGGCTGGCCTACAGCACCTTTCAGTGCTTCATGAAATCTGACGCTGCTCCAACTTTGTTCACCACCACCACCACCACAAGATCACTGCTAGCGCATTTCCCGGGTCTCGTCTCGCTTCATACAAACACCCAACATCAGAGGCTCCAACATTCTCCGAAGAAAACAAAGGAGGATAAAAGAAAGGAGAGAGAGAGAAGCGACAAAGAGGGGAGAGCTCTCAAGCGCGCCTCGAGAGAGTCCCAAGAGATCATCTGACTTGACTTTCCAAAAGCGTGAAGCAAGGAAAGCATAGAAAAAAGAAGTAGAAGATAGCGAAAAAAGAGAAGAGTTTGTGAGCAAAGATTGTTCAGAGCGATGACTACTCCCAGTGAAGATCTCATCAAGGAGCCTTTGCTGCTCAAATCGAGCCGAGAATGCCCTGGTTGCAAATGCATGCCGCACGAGGAGGACGGGCCGCCGATCAAGTATCTGGTTCTCATCGGATTCATCATGCTTTGCAATGGTGAGTTTGTTGATTCACCAATTTGCGAAGAACTGCTCTAACCATCTCTGTTTTCCAGCTTTGCCAATCACCATCTTGTTCCCTTATCTCTATCTGCTGGTAAACTCCCGATCTTCCGAAGTTCACGGCTTTTCTTCTTCGAGCAAGTCTAAAGTTTTTTCTTCCGCAGGTCCGGGACTTTAATGTCGCAGACTCGGAGAGCGACATCGGCTACTACGCAGGATTCATTGGTGAGAGGATTGAATTCGCTGCTCCTGATCTGTTTCACGACAATGACGATCCCTGCTTTCTCATAATCTCACGTTGGAAACTTTCAGGCTCATCCTTCATGATTGGGAGATTTTTCACCGGCTTGCTGTGGGGAGTGGCAGCGGATCGATATGGTCGCAAGCCCGTCATGTTCTGCGGAATCATCTCAGTGTTCGTCACATCATCTCTTTCTTTCCAGCTTGTCTAAAGTTCTTTCTTCCTCCAGGATCATCTTCAACACGCTCTTCGGCTTTAGCACCTCGCTCTGGATGGCGGTGGTCACCAGGTTCTGCCTGGGAAGCCTGAATGGCTTGTTTGGAACAATTCAAACCTTCGCAACCGAAATTTGCAACAAAAAGTATCGGAGCTTGGGACTGGCTGTGGTAAGATTCACAAGCAAACCATCTTGTAGTTAGTAGAACTCGTAGAACTTTAAAAGTCGGTCTTGCTCGATAGCAAAACGTTGGATCTTGGGAAATTCCTCATTCGTTTCGATCCTACAGGTTAGCACTGCTTGGGGATTCGGACTCGTCCTTGGACCGGCAATCGGCGGCTTCTTAGCCGAGGCAAGCAATGATATCTAGCGAAAACTTTTATCATATCGTCATTGAGAAAAACCATGTCAATGCCGTGATTTACAGCCAGCTCTCAAGTATCCGGAATTGTTCCAAGGCTCTTTATTCGACCGGTATGTAGTCTCCTCTCTCAAGTTGAAGGAATGAAGAATCTCTTTTTCGTTTCCTTCCTTTCCGCGATTCCAATCGATCGAGATTCTCATGGCCGTGCGATCTTCTCCGCAGGTACCCGTACCTTCTTCCGCCACTGTGTGTTACAGTGTTTGCGCTGCTTGTGCTCGTCGCTTGTCACTTTCTACCAGTAAGTCAAGACTACTATTGGCAAGTTCTCCAAAAATTTCTTTTCTTTACAGGAGACTTTGCACATCCATGCCAAGGAAGTTGCCAATACCCCTGAGATCGAGAGCGGGGTAATCAGCGATGACTGCGAGAAGCGATCCATTTTCCAGAACAAGGCGCTCATCGTCTCCATCGCTCTGTTTTGCTTTGCTTCACTTCACGACATTGCTTTCTTAGAGGTAAACAAAGTATGCTCCAACTTTTTCTAATCTCTTGCTCTCTCCTTTACAGGTTTTCTCTCTTTGGGCTTTGAGCTCCAAGAGTACGGGAGGACTGTCTTTCACGAGCTCCGATGCCGGAAGAGTTCTCACAGTCGCTGGTGAGGATCAAACCGTTAACTTTTCTCGTGGACGAGTCTTAATGTGGATGTTGTAGCTTTTATCATGCTGATCTGTCAGCTAAGCTTCTTCCCTGTGGTCACCCGGCGCCTCGGACCAGCAATGGTCACTCGGATAGCATCCGTAAGTTCTATGGATTCTTGCGATCGCGCTGCTGAAATGTGAAACTCATTCTGGCAGGGACTTACACTGCCACTTCTCGTCATCTATCCGTTTATGTACGAGCTCACTGGAGTCTGGCTCTGGTTCGTGATCTTGACAGTGTCAACTCTTAAGTACATTTTCATGGTAAGCTCTCGAGACTCTCCTCGTTTCGGTTGTTTCACCCAGAGTTTCCATCTCCCAGGAAGCAACAACGACAGGCCTGGCCATCCTCGTCAACGTCTCGGTGGTAAGCAGCTTTGTTTCTTACAGACCAAAGTGTTGATCCGTCAAAATCGTGGGGCTGCTTTTGTCACAGAGGCAAGAGGAGCGTGGAACAGCGAATGGATTTTCGCTCAGCCTCTTGTCGCTTTTCAAAGCCATTGGGCCGACAGCTGGAGGCACAGTGTAAGTTGCTCCATCCATCGATTTGATAGTGACATGTTTCGGTGGTTTCTCGATCCGGATCCAGTGCTTCTCCCCATCTCTCTCGCTTTTTTAATCCAATCAAGCTTTATCTCTTTGCAGGTTTGCTTGGTCGAGAAACAGGCTGCACGCTCACTTTCTTCCAGGTAAAAAGCCATTCTAATCCTCCGTAAAGATCTCCGCGATTGATTTCTCTCTCTCTCTCTCTCTCCTAGGAAACGAGTTCGTCTTCTTCTTTCTCGGAGTTTGGATGCTTATAGTCTGCGTTGGAACGCTGCATCGATCGCTCCCACGCTCTGCATTGATCTGATCTTACATCACGCTGACGAGCAAATTCTACGTTTTGTGTGTGTGTGTGTGTGTGCAAGGAGGCAAAACCTCCAGGATAGAAGAAATCTCGGCCAGTTATGTAGTTACAATGTGAAGTATCAAGCGATAGATGAGATGACAAGAATGTTTAAGTATCGTACCCGGGAATTATAAAATACGTACTTCCAGGTCTTGATTGCTCGAAATCGACACCCTTTGACTTTACAGTCTGTATGAGTCAACTCTGGTAAAACTATACTATCTCCATGAATAGAGTGCACAGTTCTTGGAATTTTAGAAGAGGCCCAAAAAGGATCACAGATCAATTCAACTCGTAGCGTTTTTTCGGGAGACACACACGACAATGGACAAAACGATCGACTGGGCACTGGGGATTCGTGTTCCTTGCGGTTGGAGAGCAGCAGGCCCTCTTCGATCGATGGTTCCCACTGTGGACTTATTTCGATCCCAAACCATTCAATTCGTCGAGATTTCACTGTCGAACAACTCGTCCTCTTCTTCTGAGCGAGAATTTTTAAGCTCTGTTTAGCTAGGCATCAAAGCAATGAGCGCTCGAGCCCATGGAGAAAGATATTTTCCCTGGCGAGGGGAGAGAGAGAAAATCCCGGCCGTTAATGGTTAAGCATATTCGTCAGGCATAACGCGTGCTAGCCGTCCATACGGGGATCATCGTGGCCGTTGCCCACACTCACACGATGGCGCTTTTAAGCTAGTGAAGATCTCTCGCTGGGACGACCAACCGATCCTCTCTTTGGATTCCAGCGAGACCCAAGGAAAAGCGAGAGAGAGAGATCCATTCCATAGCAGCATTTGGACGATACCATCGGGGTAAGGAAGGGATTTTTGATGCTAGGAGAGATTCTAGAGGGGAGGAAGAGGAAGAAGAAGAGGAATGCGGTGCTTCGCCCACAAGAAATCGCGGCACAAGAAGGCATCACTGGCGGGGCAGGACGCCTCCGCCAAGATGATGCGAACCATGTCGGCTCCACCCACATTCCTGGTCACGGATGACGACCCAATCCCGCCGCCGCCACCACTGGCTCACCCATCGCCATCGCCCTCGCCATCGCCATCTCCCAGCGCCATCGCCAGAAACCCAAGATCAAAGCCCACCGCCATCGCGGTGCCCAAGATCTCCACCAGGATGGAAGATGGCTCCACGTCGCCCCTCGTCACTCACTCAGGCCCCAGTGGATACGCGAGCTTGAGCGGCGTGAGGAGGGATCCCATCGTCTTCCGGGGCCAGCCACTGCCGCTGCCCACGCCAGAGTCTTGCGGCCTCTCGCCAGAACCATCGAGACTCATGGGCTCCCCGGCGGTGACCAGGGATTCCACCGCCGCCAGTGATCACCATCGCCCCGGCAAGGAGTTCAAGAAATCGGCATCCATGCCACTGCCAAGGCCACCGCCAGTAGCCCACGAGAGGCTGGCCGCCGCGCACATCACCTTTTGCCCCGAGACCTCGTGCATTGGCGAGTCCGGCAATGGCCCGGCTTTCACTTGCACCGTCTCGATCGATGCCAATCCCCGCGGCGGCGGTAGCAGCAAGGACTCCACGCAAGCGGTGCTCGTCCGGCTATCGGATACGACAATGCAGGTAAGAACCACGCCATAGCTTGGCTTCCATAGCTCAAAGCGCAGTTTTGATAGGATTCCAAGGCTTGGATCGAGCACGTCAAGGAGATTGTGTGCCTGCGCGACGCGCACCTCAGCCGGATCCTGGGATTCAGCTTCACCACCGACGAGAAGCTGGTGGTTTACGAGATCCAGGCCAACGGGAGCTTGGACAGGCTCTTGTATGGCCGGAGCCGCGATCGGCCGCCGCTCGACTGGGCAACGCGGGTGAGGATCGCCACCGATGCTGCGCGGGGGCTCGCGTTTCTTCACGAGCGATCGCCCACAAAGGTACGTCCGAAAGCTGGCTACGTCCAAAGTGCTCTCGCGTTCGTTGTTGCTCGTCACCCTCCACCATAGCTAAAAGCTTGTTTGTGCGTGATCTTCTTCCAGCTCATGTACAAGGACTTTAGAACTTTCAACGTGCACGTCGACAAGGAGCTGCGAGCACGACTCATGGGCTATGGATTCACGCAGAGGTTTATGAATCCGAGCTCGCTCATGGTGAGATCAAAAGTTTTGGCAGAGAGGATCTTGACAAGATGTTGCTCTTTGTGCTTGAAGGTGGCGGCCTACGCGGCGCCCGAGCTTCTCCAACGAGGAGCGCAGTCGCTACCATCGCCCAAGAGCAACGTGTGGAGTTTCGGAGTGGTGCTGCTGGAGATTCTCACCGGCCGCCAGAACCGGGACGAGATGTTCGCGGTGGAGGAGCAGGACCTGGTCGGCTGGACGGCGCCGTATCTAGCCAACGACAAGAAGCTCTTCCTGGTCGTGGATCCGGAGCTCAAGGGGATGTTCCCGGCGAGATCCGTGTCGCTCTTTGCAAAGCTGGCGGCGCAGTGTTTGCAAAGAGACCCGGCGGCGCGGCCCAGCATGGATCAAGTTGTCCAGTCCCTGGAGCACGTCCAGGCCGAGCGCGATCACCACATCAAATTGTTCGATGCCTCGGTGGGGAGTGACAGTCGCAAGCCACTCATCGAAGCTCTCAGGGAGTGTAGCAGCCCCGGGGCGGCGGTGGCGATCCATCCGGCCTTCTCCACCGTCAATGGCACTCACGTCCAGAAGAAGATCGTCACCCGGATCATCAAAACGCTGTGTTCTTCGCCAGGAACTTTCGACTAGATTGAGGGATGGATGGATGGATTGGATCATCGTGCTGCCATCGATGGAGCGCTCGACAGCGCGTTGGCTAGCACCGAGTGAAGCCCACCACTCTGGGAGGAATCCGCGAGCGCTCTCTCCACCACCAGCTCTGGCAGCCGCCGGGTGGCGCTGGCACCGATGACGCTCGTCCAGTTGCGAGCATCCGGGACGAAGGGCATGCTCGCGACGAGATCCTCGGCGTCGCGCAGATGTCCCGCGCGGCAGAGAACATCGATCATACATCCATAGTGCTGCTTCGTCAATCCAAGCCCAAAGTCATAGCCAATGGAACCGAAGCGCGAGCGCCCGATCCTCACGTCGCCCGCGTGGTTGCAGCCGTGGAGAACGCACGCCAGCGACGATTCGTCCGGCGCCACGCCATGGATCAACATCCTGCCATAACTCTCGAAGAGATCATCACTCTGGTGCCTGGCTTGCGCTTGCATCGCGAGGATCACGTTCCAGGCAATGACGTCGGGGGCCTCCGGCGTGGACTGGAAGATGGCGAGCGCGCGATCGGCGTGGCCGCTCTGCGCGTAGGCCGAGATCATGAGCGTGCTCGAGTAGAGGCTGCCGTGATCCGGCATTAAATCCCAGAGCTCTCTAGCTCGTTCCAGCCTGCCAGCGCCGACGAGCGCCGCGAGCATGAGGTTCCAGGAGCCGGTGTTCCTGTCCGGCATAGCCGAGAAGAGATACTCCGCGTCGGCGAAGCGTGCTGACTGGACGTACCCCGTCAGCAAGGCATTCCACGTGTCGGTGTTGTGCGACGCCATGCTGTCAAACAGGCACTTGGCGCGTTCCACGTGTCCTGCGTTCGCTAGCGCCGCCGCCATGGCATTACAGCACACCACGTCCGGGCAAGCAACCACGGTATCGAACGTCCTCTTGGCCTCCTCCACGTGCCCCCACTGGGAATATGCCACCACGAGCGCGGTGCACGACACCACGTCAAGCTCGGGCATGGAATCGAACTCGCGTTTTGTCTCCTCGAGCGTGCCGTATCGTACGTACATGTCCAGCATGGCGTTCCAGCACACGAGGTCCCGTTCAGGGAATCTCTCAAACAAGAGCTTGGCTTGAAAAATATCCCCTTTCTGGGCATATGCTGCGAGCATCGTTGTCCACGAGACAAGATCTCGCTGGAGCATGCCATCGAACAAGATCTTAGCTTCGTCAACCCGATTGTTTGCGCAACGCATCTCCAAGAGTGTGTTCCATGACACGAGATTGAGCTCTGGCATGATTATGGCAAACTTGATAGCTCCATCCAGATGCCCTGATTGGGCATACGCTGCAAGGATCAGATTCCACGAGACCATGCTTCTTTCAGGCATCTTGTCAAACAACGCCTTGGCAGTTTCGAGCTGGTAGTGAGCGAGAGCTGTGAGCAAGGTGTTCCATGACACCACATCCCAGAAGCTCATCGTATCAAACAGCAACTTGGCCTCTCTCCAGCAACCATTTTGCCCATACGCGGCTAACATCGCGTTCCACGATCGCAGGTTTGGATCCGGCATGGAATCAAACATGGACTTCGCTCGACCAACGTCTCCATTCTGGGCATATGCCGCGAGCATCGCTGTGCAAGCCACCACGTCGTGATCCGCCATAGTCGCAAACAGAGACTCGGCGTCACGCAAATACCCGTGCTGGGCGTAAGCCACCAGCACTGTCGTCCAGGCCACGAAATCGGGGTCGGGCATAAGATCAAACACGCGTTTCGCGCCAGAAATATTCCCAGTCTCGGCATATGCTGCGATCATAGCATTCCACGAGACGCGGCTCCTGGACGGCATCTTCAAGAACGCATCCTCCGCTTCTTTGATGAGACCCTCGTTCGCATATAGTGTAAGCATGGTGTTCCACGAGACCGTGTCTTTCACGGGCATTACAGAGAACAACGTTCGAGCGTCCTGGAGATGCCCGTTTCGGGCATATGCCGAGAGCATCATGTTCCAGGAGAAGCTGTCCTTGTGGGCGATGGCGTCAAACACCGATCGAGCCTCAGCAGCGCTGCCGCATCTACCGTACGCTTGAACGAGCAAATTGGAGAGGTAGGAATGTGATCCAGCATCATTTCTCTCTTCCTGGAGCTTGATAGAGGCATGAAGACGCCTGGCGTGAGATAGACTGCTACACGATCTTAGCAGCTTGATGGAGTCCTGGTGCTGGGCCGAAAACTCGTGGACCATGGCTTGCGGAGTAGTATCAGGTATCATAGCTGTGATCAAGAGCTTTAAGTTGATCCATAGCCCTGTGACTTTCAGCCCGACACCTTTTTTTCACGCTTGGCTTTCGGAGGAGTCGGCTTGGCTTGCATGACCCAACCATGGATGTCGATAGCAGCAGCATACTTCTCGGCACTGAGGTCCTCGGGTATCACTATCCTGGCGGACGCTTTCTTTGAGGCGGTCTGATAGACAGTCACGCTGTCGACTCGTAAGCCCATGCCTTGTAGGTGCTGCCCGAGCTCCTTCTCGGTGATGCTGGGATTGAGCTCGGTGATGGAGATGGAAGGCCCGTCTGCTTTGCCACCTGGACGGACTTGCCTTCCCGTAGGCGCTAGTTTCGGCTTCTCTCCAGTTTCTTGTCCGATCTTCTCCCTCAGCTCCCGCAAGACGTTCACGCGGAGGTATTTGTCAGGCAGAAGCAAGTCCCAGTAAATTCCTGGCAAGAGGAGAAGATGAGAGAAAACAATGGAGCCTTGGAAAGGACTTACAAAACTTACCGGTTGGTTTTGGAATTTTGGTGTTCGTGTGATAGATGTAATTTGGTGTGCAAACTATATCGACTGGAAGGTCGTAAGGGAGCAGCTTGTCCACGGGGATGTCATTCACGAGCTGTTTATCGTGGACTACAACGAAAAACTCAGAGTTATCCATTACCATCACTCGTCAACATACCTGTAGTCACGACAAGTGTGGACTCGTCTATAATTTTCTTGTGACGAAGCAGCGCGTACGCCAGCTCCTCAGTTCCCTGAAATGAAAATCATCCACACCTCGCTACAAGAAAAAATGAGATTCTTACATGGCCAACGCCAACGCGAGCACCAGTGTCTGGATCCACCGCAACCGAGCCGATGACAAGAATGTCGACCCTGAAATCCGACTCAAGCCCCAGCTCTTTTCCCAGCAACTCACCCTCTGCACGACTCTGCTGGAAATAAATCTCACTCACATCGTCTGAGAAACACTGGCGTACCAATGCGTGCCGAGGTCTCCCTCATCTTGTAGAAGGACAAGTACGTCGGGCTCACAACCGCGTAGAAGCCCTTCTTTAGCCCCGGTGGAGGAACAAGCAGCACTTTCATATCTGGAAACCAAGAGAAACTCCCATCACAACAAAGAGAAGAAAATTTGTCTGTCGAGATTTACGCCTGAGTGTTATGAATCTCACTTGTCTCTGCGGCGCATCCGGGCACACGCTCACGAACTGGGCCTCTCGATATTCGGGCAGAAGCAGCACCTAAGAGACAAAAGAAAAAGAGAATGAAATCTCTGAGGCTGCTACTACTACTACTCTCACCTTGTCAGCTGCCTTGCCGGCTCCACGGAAATTCGGAATTGTGTTGTGCACCGGCCTCGGCATCAAAGCAATGCCCTTTTTCTCGATCAAATCCCACATTCGCTTCCGAATTCCCCATTTCCAAGCGCCAGGCTTCTCGTCGGCTGGCGCAGCAGCAGGCGCGTGAGCATTCGAGCAAAAGCCTCTCGATCGGAGCGCGCGCCACCGCTGTGGGAGGCGCTGCATTTTCCCTCCCTCCTCCCCTAAAACCCTAAACCTTCCGTACCATGTAATCTTTCCGTACGAAAGATATAGGAGCCCTAAATTGCGAGAATATCTTTATTCCGCTCAAACCTATTATTAGCGTCAACCTTCCGATCTTTTGCTGGATCCACAAAAATCTCTTGGAATCGTCCGGATCCCTTTTAGAGTTTATAAGGATTCCATTGATGTGAGACTTCTGACATCAATGCATCACTTGGAAAATAGAATAGATCCAAATCTCATCGCCCACCCACTGGCGAATCGCCACATTCCAAGCCCTTGTTTATCCCAGCGCCAGAGCTGATTGGCGCGAGCACTCCGCGATCTTGCGTCCACGTCGTGGCGCGAAGATGTGAACAGCCCCGCGATTGTTGTCAATGAATATGATACTCGATTTCTCGCACTGTGGAGCGATTTGCCGGCACAGACACGGTGCTCGATCGATCTCCACGGGATTCGAGAAAGGAGCCCCGACCCACAAACCAGAGTTTAAAGCGGGGGGGACAATTCAATCGTCTAATCGCTAAAGCGAATCAAATGTTTCCACAGAAAAAAGAGTGTGCGCAAGTATTTCAAGGTGTGGCGTACGGATTGTCTCGCTTTTTCCGGAAGGCCCAGGTTTTTCAAAGGCTAGAAAACACACGAAGGTGTTCGTCGCCAACAAATGGTCAAGCTTGTCGACATCCCGTTGGATGATTTTCTCCACTGATCGACGAAATCAGCCTCGCGAAAACAAAGTCTTTTTCTTTGTAGATTCGCCCAACTTGTTGCTAGCTATAGAGTTTAACGTCTAGCAACATGTCTTAAACATTCCGTAATTATCTTTTGACTTTGGAACAGCCGATAATTGTTACACCCCGGGGGGTCCATTTCGATGCAACCACATCCATAGCTATCGAAACTTCTCCCCTTGGTCAAAAAGTTTAAATCGCCCAAAAGATCCCCGGAAACTCTCCCGGCTGCGAAAGCAACTTGGTGACCAATCAAAGCGAGACACGATGCTTCCGGCGGATGCTGCACACGGCACGAAAAAAAGAAACAAAAAAAAAAAAGAAAAGTGTCTTTGGGAGAGCCAAGCAGTAACTTGGGGCAATTGTTTATTGTTGCAAGAGTCTCTCCAGAGTTTCGCGACAACACAAAGTCCCCATCCCTCTTTCTCTCACTCTCTCTTTTAGCACTACTCTGGATGGAAGCACTGGTTCTTTCTCTTCTGGGGGATGGATCATTCATGGTGGCTCGCTGGTGGTTTTTTTAAGGTGTGCTTTTCTTTTCTTTTCCACAGTGGGGGAGCTTGTCGAGAAATCCTTGCACACCTTTGGGGAAACACGGTGGTAAAAGAAGCGCTTCGCTTGGTGCTGTGGGACACTCACACACAACGTGACACAGTGATCACAGTGATATCATATACACGATATAATAGTATTATGTATTGTTATATAGTATCATATCATGTAGTATATATAAGTGCTTTCGATCCAGGCAGCAACCCGGTTCCTCACACCGCACTTCGCCGTTCGCTCGCTCTCGCTCTTGCGCTCTCTCCACCATCTCCACACAAAGACCCTCTTCTTCCAAGAAAGAGATTCTCGAGAATGGCAAGCTTGTGGATGCTCGCGGTGCTTGCCACAGCGGCCTTTGTTCTACTCCTGCTCCCTGGCGAGGCTGTTTGCGAGGGTGATACCACTACCAAGAAGGAGCAAACAAGAGGTTTGTTTAGCTTGATTTCGCGATATATATTTCTATGATTTGCATCCACTTGGTACTTGATCTTTCTTAGATGGCGACCGCAATGTCGCAGATATAGATACCGCACTGGATCATCAGCTGGCGCGCCAGCTTGCTTCTCGTCCCAAAATCCGTTGGTCTCGGAAGGTGCTTTCAATACAATGTTTGATCACACTGGGCTTTTCTCTCATATGATTCATTCTTGCTTGCAGATGCTAGATTCTCCAGCGCAGTTTGCAGATCACCCGGCGACGAGCAAGTCGCAAGCAGCACCGGAAGCTCAAGCAAAGGTTTCCAGAACTGTGAAGGAAAGAGACGCCGCTGGATCAGCAGTACCAAGCACGAGCTCATCCACCAAGAGCTCGTCCAAGCACGACAACACCGAGGACCTGTTCCACATAGATTACACACCGGCCGCGATTCACCCTCCTCGCAGCCACGGTCACAATCCTTGAGATAACAAAACGATTTCTTCACAGGCTCGATCAAGCACCACATTAAATAGAGCTTAGCAGCAGCCTGTACAAAGAAAAGAGTAAGAGACCATCAAGCAGAACAAAAAAACAGAAGAGAATAAGCAAGCATATAGTAATCAAATCACTGATCAGTATGTCAGTCGATCGAGCTAGATCAAATCTAGCTCCTCCTCCTCCTCCTCCTCCTCGGGTTTGCAAATGGCAATTACAAATGTGAATTCTATTCTCCGCGACGCTCTCTCCTTCGATCATCATGTAGCTCAAGACTGTGTTCTTGAGGAAGAACGCACAGTGGCGGCATATACCCTGCCTAGTGGACAAATTGGTGCAGCGCGGTATATTCCTCGGCACTGCGGCCGTGGACTGGATTAAACAAAAGGCCGGATTTGGGGTGGCGATTTGGTCGGCTGGAGCTAAGCAAAAACAAGCCCGGCCACTGTCTAGAGCTTACGCTCTCGTCATCATCGCCGCTCAGACAGGCCGACCGAGTGCCGACGTGGTCGCCTTGCCTATAGCCTCAAATCTCCCCCAGTCCACTCTAGTCAAAGCCTGTGGTCAACGGCGTGCGTGGGTGTGGTGATGTCAACGCGCGCAACGTCACTGCAAGTTGGGGGAGCTCTGAGTCCTCCACTACAAGCTGTCCGCGATGGGACGGGATTTTGGCGATTGGATCTACGGATACTGCGAGATTCCGGCATCAAGTATTCTGGAAAGGCGATGACTACCGATCGATCGAGGGGAATGGGTGAATCACATCACACCCATTTTTTTTTTTTTTGACACCACTGAGAAAGAAGGGTTCATTTCGCTTCTTCGTTTCTAGCTTCGTCCCCCCTTTGCCTTTAAGTGAGTGCACACACGAGCGTAGAAGAACACTATCATTCCGATACCTAGTGGATGACAGGTATTCCCTGGAGGGCATCATCCGCCAACGCAATTTGGTGTTGACTTTGTACTTTCTTCCTCCCTCGCATCGCAGCAGTCAGTTCGGGGCAACTTGAGCAAAGCTTCCCATCCCCTCTTTTCTCGCCACAAGTTGATCAAGTCACGCAAAGATGTGCTGTGGATGGTGGTGGTCACGGGATGGGTCCGGCGTCTGCGCGCTCGCATCCTCTCCAGGCACCTCCAAACCGACAAGCTCAGATTCTGGAGCCCAAGGGTACGATCGAAACCTTCTCCCTGCCAGCCTTCTGGTGCAGATGCACCGCGGTCGCTGCAATATCGAGGAGGCCCCGGCCGTGTTTGATGCTCTCCACTCCCGACAGCGTTTTCTCTGGAAACATCATGGTCGCGGCGTTTGCCCAGAACGGGCATATCCCCGATGCGTGGCAAGTGTTTGATGCAATGCCGGAGAAGAACGTAGTATCTTGGACCACTATTATTGCTGTCTACTGTTCCGCCAGTCACGTCGAGGGAGCAAAGCTACTGTTTGATGTGGCTGGAACGCTCTCGTCACGGCTTATGCCCAAAACGGGCATGTGTTTGACGCGGCGGTGGTGTTCTACAGGCAGCCCGCTAGAACGCTCGTCTCCTGGAACTCGATTCTCAAGGGCTACTCTCAAGACGGTGATTTGGATTCAACACTTGGAACGGTTCGCGGCCTTCTTGGGAACTTGAGAAGGATTCTTTCGCTTGGGCCGCTGCCATCCAAGCGTATGCCCGAGCTGGTCATGTCGGCGATGCAGCAGCCGTTTACGAGGGAATGCCTCGGCACTGTTCCGTTACCGTAACCGCGATGATCCAGGCTTTCGGTCAGGCCGGGATTCCCAACAGAGCAAAGAAAGTTTTTGAGAGTCGCTGTCCAGAACGAGATATGATCACTTGGACAGCTTTTCTTTCGGCACTTGCGGCAAATGGGATGGTGCAAGATGTGAAGGATGCGCTCGAAGATGCCAGAGAAGAATTGCGTTTCTTGGGACGCTCAACAGATAGGTGGCTTTTCCTTCGGCGTATAGGATGCCTCAACACAGTTGTCACGGCTTCCAACTTCTTGATCGAAGCGCTCGCTCAAAACGATTCCAAAGTAACTTTTCTGGCGCTGTCTCACACGTGGGCTGGAGAAATGAAGGCCGCGGCTACGTTACTAGAAAGGATGCCACAGACCACAGTCAACATGGAGATAAGAGGGGGCCTGGGATATTCCAGGAATGGTGATGCCGTGCGTGCCGTCCAAGTGTTCTTCCGGGAGATGACGCAGCGTAACATCGTGTCGTGGAACTCGATTCTCCAAGCGCTGTTGGTCTGGATAGAGCTCACAAGCTCTTCGCTCAAATGCCGCAGCACGACGTCATCTCCTGGACGTCGCTGGTGGCCAAGTTCGCTTCGAAGCCCGAGTTCCAAGACGAGGTGAGGAACTTATTCCAGAGAACGCCTGAAAGAGATATTGCAGCGTGCAGTGCATTGATCGCCGCCTATGCTCACAGCGGTCAAGCGAGAGCGTCGCTGGAGCTCTTCCGGCTCATGGACTTGGAAGGACGCCGCGACTTTTGTGAGCGCGTTGGACGCCTCTGCTACTCTCTCGGCTCTTCCCCAGGGCAGGATTCTCCACTCGAGCATTCTCTCCAATTAGCAACCGCGCTCGTGAACATATAGTACCTATTGCTCTTGCATGGACGAAGCTCATGTGTTTGACAGCATGGAGGAGCGAGACGTCGTCTCCTGGAACGCATTGGTGGCGGCCACTCTCACCACGGCCACGGCAACAAAGTCTTCCTCGAGCTTCTCCCCGAGATGGTGCTACAGATAGTGCATCCAGACAGCGTGACGCTCACCAGCTGCGCTTACAGTCACGTAGGCCTGCTCGACGGCGGCTTGGAGTTCCTCGGCCGGATCCCTGAGGACTTTAGCATGCAAGCGACGCTGGACAAGGGCGATTGGAAGATGCCGAGGAGCTGGTTGAGGTGAGGCCGTTTGAGCCGGACAGCTCTACGGGGATGAATCTAGTCGGTGCCTGTGTAAGCCACGGTGGCCATGCCGCAGGAGCTGGAAACCACATAATCGAGCTCCATACGTGTTGCTCGCCAACATGCTCGCTAACTGCTAGAGGAACTACGACGTGAGATCAAACGATCTCTCGCTTTTGTTTTCTGGAAAGAACCGTGGTGTTGCAAGAGGCTCTTTTAAGAAGGTGTTACTTCGAAGTCGCGAGAAACAAGAAAGCCTAACAAAATCAAGCATCGATCGCCTTGATCATTCTACGTAAAAGGGATTCTTTGTCTAGGTAATCTATGGCGCTTGAGGCCTGCGCCAGCATGGCGGTCTCGTTTGTGCCCGCTCGCAATGTTGGTCCTCTTCTTCCACAGGAGAAAACGCGTGTGCTTTCACGCCAGCGCTTCCGGATTCGTGGGTTGAGTGCTGCGAGTGAGCAGCCGGATGTTCCTCCCAGCACACACGTCCAAGAAAACCAGGTTTCTTCTTCCCCATGTTTCTTCTCTAAAACTTCACGCTCTACCTAGTTGCCAGGCGGAGGTGAGAATTTTGGATCGCCCAAGAGCTTGCTAGCATCAATCCTCTCACGAAATGACGAGTAGGCCAACGTCCATTCGATCGGTGCTTCTGTTGAAAGTGAGTGATTCTCTTCCATCTTAACAACGCAGCCTCAAGAGCCAACTGAGGAGATATGGAACCGCTGGGATACTTTCTTACGGCGTTTTCAACACCATGTACTACCTAGGAACGTTTCTCTTCTTCTGGTAAACGACCACCTGGCCGCCATAGCCAACACCTTACAGATAGTGATCGATGAAAACTGGTATTTTTTCACAGGTTCTATGTGGCTCCATCACCAGGAGGCCTTGGCTATGCTGCTGCTGCTCAAAGGTTTGTCCGTGTGTACTTTCCACTCGTTTTGATCGCGAGAGTTCGAGCTTTGTTACATGTATCACAGGTTTGTGAAGCTCTTTGCGATGGTGTGGGCAGGCAGTCAAGTGACGAAACTTTTGCGTGCTGCAGCGTAAGTTTCGCGTCGCTCTCAAATCTAAATTGCTTTCCATTCCAGCGCTCTGGCTCTGGCCCCGCTCGTGGACAAGTGTCTCAACTGGTTTACAAGCACACTCCACTTCGAATCGAGGGAAAAGGTTGCTTTTGTTCTGGGATTTCTAAGAACTCCACCTTGCGTTTTTGGTTTCTTTGCAGGCGTTTGGAACTCTAGTAGCCGGCTGCTTTGCTCTGGCTTTGCTCGTCTTCGTTGTCATCACAAGCTTATGGGCGTGACTCCAATAGAGCAGAACAGGCTTTTGTCCAAACAGGCACTGAAAAATTTCTTTATACATGAGTAACTCCGGCAGTGCTTGTGGGACTCTAGAAACTCGAGGATCACTGCGCAGATTATGCGAAATTACGCTCCAAGATTGGAGGAGCAACAAAATACAAACCCTTCTCCACCGCCGCTGCCTAATACACGTGAAGCATGGTGTCTTTGTATCCTGCTGCCGCCTTGTGTTTTTCAAATAGCTCTTGAAGCGCGACTATGAATTTCTCCAGAACATTAGCCACCTGCATTCCATTCCCGTTGCTACAAATGCAAACTTCGTGGATCATACCTCCTCTCTGGATGGCTGCGAGGTTTTGGTCACCTCAATCGGATTGCCTACAGCTACGTACATCTCCTGCTGGCATGGAACAGGACTCCTGCACGATCATCGAGTAAGCTACAAGAAAGAAGAAAAGAGAGATCAACGTACCCATACATTCCCCAGAAGACGAGAGGGGTAAACCCGATAGCTCTTGAGAGCTTGGCGTAGAGCTCTCCTTTCGGCTTCCACCACTTGTAAGCTTCAGTCTGTAAGAAAAAAAGACGGGTGGTGCTAGAAAGAAAAAAAAATCTTTGAGAAGTTCTTTCATACCTGGCCGAAACAAAACACCGGAACTAATGGAGCACCAGTCTCGATGGCCACCCGCACAAATCCAAATCTTTTCTTCAAGAAAACCACCTGGAAAACAGATAAGAGAAATCCAAAGCAGTCATGAAAAGGAGATGACGATGTGGCACAAACCTCGTGTCCATGCTCCATGTAGAGGCACTCTTGGACACCTCCAGGCACGACAATACAAGAGTAGCCATCGTTCAAAAGCTTGCCAAAGGTTTTTCGCGAGGCAGGAACGAGACCAAGCCACGTCCAGATGTGACGCAGGATTGGAGTTGCAAACACCTGGACGTGTCACGGCAAAACAAATCAGCGCAAACTTAGAAAAAATCTTCAAAAAATTCAAAACGCTTTTACGCACAGCACTGCTGGCCAACGCTCGGATTTTCGTAAAAGGCATGTAGCCAGTGTAGTGGCAGAGCGAGATAATCCCGATAGGGAGGATGGAGTGTGGCTCCACCGCGAACACTGTTCAAGCATTTATCTGTCATTCCAAAAAAAAATACATAGAGAGAGAGAATACCATATGCCTTGCTCAAGTCGAAGGATTTTATATCATCGACATGGAGCCTGATAGGAAAATGCTTCGGTGCATACTTGCAGATAAACCTACACGATCGAAGCAACAAAAAAAAAAAGAAAAAAATCCAAGCTTTTTGTAAGCAAGGATCGATCAAAAAAAAAAAAATCGCTACTTACGTCGCGACCTTGCGACCCAAAGGGCTCTCGTGATGGGCCGGAAGAACCATGAGCAGCAAATACAAGCCCATGACCCTGGATCAAGAAAGAAGAGCGCCCTATAAACCGAGAAGAGCGGGAAAACGAGAAAGAAGAGGAGAAATGCAAATGCTTACGCAATGGCCCAGGCTCGCCGCAAATTGGCAAGAACGACGAGGCCGACGATGGTGTTAAAATGGATGGCGCCCAGCCATATGAGCACCGCGATCCAGCTCAAAACGCCGCCGCTCGCCGGCGGATCCACCCGCCTGTGCAGCGAATTGCATGCATCGCTCCCGGCGCCGCCATCGCCATCGCCATCGCCATCGCCGCCCTTGGCGTGAGCCGCGGCCGCCGCCATGAATCGAGTGCTCCCCACACACTCCCCCATTGGCAGCACCAAATGCCCGCCCGCCACCGTCGATTTGCCAATCCTAGGGCTGCGATGCTGCCACTAGGTGACAGATCTCGCGGCCCCACGCCTCACAAATGCAGCCGCAGATCTCTGCGCACCGCGGTCGCTCCACGTGGGAAGTATCGGTAAACACGTGGCGCGCGTGTAGCCGTCGGTGCTCGCATAGATTGTGCCAAAGAACACGTTACATTCGAGCTATTGAAAGCGAGCTCGTGCCCGGGAATGATGCTCTCAGCATATCTCGCGCTTCCGTACGCGGAGCTTCACCCCGTGGATGGGGCGTACGACAATGCTCAGGCGGACGGCCAGGGGGTTCTCCATGGCCGGCGAGTGCTCAAACGTGTAGCGCTGGTAGAAGTGGATCAAGGCCAGCTTCATCTCCAGGTAGGCCAACTTGTAGCCGATGCACATCCGGGGCCCGATTCCAAAGGGGGAGTGAGCGTACGGGTGGCGCTTCTTGGCCTCGGCGCAGTCGGGATCGAAGCGCTCCGGGCGGAAGAGATGCGGCTCCGGGAAATCCTCCTCGTCCTGGGCGAGCGCATTGATCACCAGCCAAACCCAAGTTCCCTGGTAGAAGAAAGTTTGGCTATCTCTACAAGAAAGAGAGAGGGATGTTACCTTTGGAATGTGGTAGCCTACCACCTTGATATCCTCCATCGCCTCGCGAGCAACAACTGGGGAGAACGTGATCATCCTCATGGATTCTTTGATCACCTGTTGATCATTGACACTCTGAAGAGGGAGAAAGATTCGCGAGCACTGACCTGGTCAACGTACTTGAACTTGTCCACGTCCTCGAAGGCCACCGTTGACCCCAGTGGGGCGAGCTCGTCAATCTCCTTGACCATCTTTGACGCCACCTCCGGGTGCGCGGCGATGAAGTAGAGCGTGTAGCAGAGATTGGTGCCAGTTGACTCCGACCCGGCCATCATGAGCTCGTAAGCCAGCGCCAGCACCCGCTCGTCGGTCAACAGCTCGCGCATCTCCTGGCTCTTGGCCCGCGCGTCCAGCAGCAGCGACAGCGCATCGCTCCTAACAACTCCGTCCCGCATCTCGGCCTCCCTCCGCTCCAGCAGCGCCCTCATCTGGGCCTCGAGCAGCAGATTCCCCGTGTACTGGTTCCAGTCGCCGGTCCCCGGGATCCTCTTCATGATCTCGCGGATCGGGTGCTGGAGGAAGGGGAAGAAGAGCCCCGCGAAGGTGCTCACCGGGGCCTTCTCGTTCATCGTCAACGTATCGAGCGAATTGAGTACCGCATTCACCATGTCCTTGTCCTCGCTGCGACCATCAGCCCAAGAGGGCTTGACGAGCTTGAAGCCGGTGCCAAATGCGCTCTCCCCGATCACGTCCAGGGCCATCCTCTGGAGGAGCTGGGTCATGTTGACATCCTCCCCGGCGTTTGCGTGCTTGTCCAGGATCTCCACCACTTGGCCCATCACTCGCTCCATGAGCGGCACGTACGCAGAGAGCTTCTCCGTGTGGAACGTGGGGAGGAGTATGTTCCTCATCCTCGCCCAGTCAGGAGCCCTTCAGAAGGACACTAGTATTACGAATATTTGCAAGGCAAAGTCTTACTTTGTCATGAACAGCCCGTGTAAGTGGATCCAGCTCTCCTTCATGTAAGGAAGGATGACACGGTTTGGGAACACCTTGAACTTCCGTATGGCAATCTCCTGGCAGAGGTCAGCTGAGGCTACAAAGACAATCGGTTGTCTGCCCAGCTGGAACCTGATAGCAACCGAGAACTGAGGCTAAGTTAGATCATATCTGTTTACCTGTAAATTGGCCCCAGCTGCTTGGCAAGCTTGATGAAAACGCCGGCTTGGTACTTGGCCATGAGTGGGAGGTGTCCCAGACCTGAGATGTATGGAGCAGCAGGAATTTTCGACAGCTTCCATGCGGGCCATTGCAAGTAAATCAAGATTGTCACAACAATCACAAAGAAAACTGCGATGATCAGCGCCATTTGCAGGCCGTCTATCCAAGGGAGCGCTTTATATATGTGAAACCATGTTTGGACGACTCGGGGTAGCATTTTTCAAAGCATCTTACTTGTTTGTTAGCTGAAAGGCTTCGTCAAAAGCCTTCGTAAATTACCCTTTCTTAATATATAAAATGTTTTGGAAATAAAATTTGAATAGACGAAGCCTTTCAGCTAACAACTTTCTCACGGATAGAATTCTGTTTGGGTTCGATTGGGATGAATTCTTCGGCCGCGGCTCACGAGCGGCGGCGTTTTGAGCTGGATCGCGGTGCTGACATCGCTGGGCGCCATCCATTTCAACACCATCGTCGCCCTTGTCAATTTGTGGCGAGTTGCGTTTGCATTTCTCCTCTCCTTTATTGTCTTGTTTTCCTGCTCTCCTCGGCTGATATGCGGTGCGGTGCTGGGTCTTGAGTCGAAAGTTTTTGATCGATCGTTGCTTATAAAGCTTGTATTTTTTGTTTTCTTCTGTCCATATGGAAGTCTTTTCTTTTTCTCCTTTTTTTCTTAAATGATATAATCGGGATTATCTCTGCAGTAAAACAACAAGGTTCTACACTGATTTATTTTACGTCCAGGATTTTGCGACGCCAATCTCCTAGCGGAGGCTACAAAGACAATCGGTTTTCTACCTGATAAAAACCGAGACTAAAGATCATAAATCCAGTGCCTGTAAATTGGACCCAGTTGCTTTGCAATTTTGATGAAAACGCCGGCTTGGTTCTTGGCCATGAGTGGGAAGGAGGTGTCCCACGCATGAGATGTATGGAGCAGCAAGAATTTTAAGCAATGCAAAACAATTCATACCAGGAACCAAACTCTGATCAACAACAACCAAGATTGCCATAACAATCACAACATCAGCGCTATTTAAAAGCCGTCAATCAAACGGGTGAAGATTGGAACGCTTTTTTCAGTTTTTTCTTGACAAGAGAACAAGCACCATAAAATAAAAGGCGCTACTGAAAAGTTAGCTCCGTTGCACTCTTGAATTGCACTCTTGGGAACGCGAATGGTAAGCAAGCCGTTCAGGAAAGACGCTCTAGCCTGCTTCACGTCAGCACTAGAGGGAAGCTTAAACTTCCTTTGCTTGAAAACGTTGCCGCTGGCATTAACAATGAGTTCCGGCCCTGCACAGTCCACAATCACTTCCTCTCGCGACAAGCCTGCACTGCAAAAGCTATTCAGGAAACGTGGAAGGTTTCAGGGACATACCTGGAACTTCAACACGAAGAATGTGGTGATGCTCGTCATCTGCAGAAGTTGCCTTGAGGGGTTGGTTCTTGGCTACAGCAGAGGAGGAGAAGAAAAAAACCGGAAA